CCAGGGCTACACCAGATACTGCTGAGAGGAGGCAGGAGATGAGCCAAAAGGAGCGGGGGAGGAATTGGAGACATTCCCAACCACATCACCACAGCACCTCTTAGTGGTCAAACCAGGAGCAGCAATGGCTCAGACTGGCTTTATACCATTCCTGATCTGGTCAGCATCACCGACCCTGGAGAGACACTGTACTGGTGGAGGGGGGGGGGGGGCTGTGTATGCGCGCGCGCGCGTGTGAGTGAGTGAGTGATTGATTGAGTGAGTGAGTAAGTGAGTGAGCGAGCGAGTGATTGAGTGAGTGAGTGAGAGTGAGTGGGGGGGGGGACAAAGGAGCGCCTGCGAATGAATCATAATACAAATAAACATGCTATTGTATTTCCATTTGTTTTATTAATTAAATCATTAAATATCCGACTCTGTTTTCTACTTGAGCAGAATGGCAACCTGAGAAGTATATTTTAGTTAACATTGGAGAAGTAAACGTGATGTTTAAAGGGATGTCTGTGTCGGTGGGGTTGTGAGCTAGAATATACGACTGGGAGCTGTTTTTTACCTGTGGGGAAACTGGACTTTTCCACGTTCAAAACTGTCAGGACGCATTCCAGTCTTGATGGGCATACCATTTATCCAGTAACCTTCTTACAATGAGGATTAGACTGCAGGGAAACTTAATCCTAAAAAGACTCCTTGATGAGAGGGAGGTGGAGTAGAAATTACCAATGTTTTACTAAGCAAATCTTGTGCAAAAAAAAAACAGCTCCACTTGCCATTTTGACATTTCATTTAGAATAAAAAGTAACTGGAATAATAAACTTAATACCTGTGACCGAGGATTTGTACCACCCGGATTCTAACCTCAAACCAATGTGATTTCAAGCTGGAAAGGGCAAATTTAATCGTTTTTCACACCGTCCCAAAGTGCCAAAGGGCAAAGCTGCACTGCTGACAACTTTTCATGCTGTATCTGAAAGCCTCAAGTTATAATAATAATAATATAATAATAATATCATTATATTCGCTCTTACATTGTGGTTTGGTTTTTGTTGTACTCTGGGCTTGTGATAGGCTCACAAGTCACAACCTCAATGGGTTTGCACGGAAAGTAGCAGGTTTGAAGTTGATCGAGAGTTCAAAATCTTGCTCGAGTCAAGTTATTAACATTCAGTGTGATTATAAATAGCTTTTCCTTAGATAAAAGGCTTGATCAACCTGAGGGACATTGCTGGTGAGCTCATTCAATAATCTCTAGATATTGCTGTCTGTGACTTTGTTACATTGGGAAATAAAAGACAAAACAGTTGGAGGTTCATAGTATAAAAGATCTCACCACCTTCATGGATGATTGCGATTTTGGTTTAAGATTGTAGATATTTTGAAAGGGAAATATCTTTGAGAATCTGTGAATCACAATTATTTTGAAAGGGACGAAGTTAAGAAGATAGTTTCTAAAAAGAATCCAAAGTCCTTCCTAGTAAAAAGGTAATAGAGCAGTTCAATATGCCTAAACACTATTAAAATAACTGGAATTTTAAGTGCCGGCAGAATATGTAGGTGCAATGTTCTCACAAACAGCCATGAAGCAAATGACCGATTTGTATCTTGGTGGGGGGATTGTTGGCCAGGACACAAGGAGAAACTCCCTTCTCTTTCCATCTCTTGTGGGAACTTTAATATCCACCTGAGCTGGCAGATAGGACCTCGGATTCACCTGAAGGATGGCATCTCTGACAATGCCGTGCACCCCTAACTTTGCATTATTATTGGCGGGTCAGCCAAGATTGTGAGGTCAAGAGTCCTGACATAGGTTCTGAACCCACCACCTTCTCGCGCAGTGGCAGGAGTGCTACCAACTGAGCCAGGCCGACACCTATGCTATACCCTTTGTGTCATATCGACATTGAGCTCTGTCCCCAAATCCCCGTTCTGATAAGAAAAACAAATTTTACCGCAGCCGATTCCAACAAACTTTTAAAACGTAAAGTTTAAAGTTTCTTGTGCAGCACAATGGGCTGCCCTGTAAACTTTGCTAATATTACTGTACGACAGAGCCCCTACAGCCTTAACATTAAAAAGCTAACCAGCATTTGACACTGCTTCGTAGAGCTCCACATATGCTCAGAACTCTCCTGAGCCTTTGCTGAGAGAAAAGGGGAGCGGGAAATATCGATCAAGTTTTGATCTGAATTGTTGTACGGCTGGAACTCATACTGTATCACAGCATGCCGTATAAAAGGGTCATATTCAAAAGAATACAACATAATTTACATCTATCCACACACCTCTGTTTACCTAGCAGTAAGTTGGAACCCGGTTGTTAATTAGTCGATTGGCGTACCACTATCCAGGGGTAATAATCCCTCCAAAACCACCACCGGCTCTTTGCAGCTTATTAGTTTCCTGCTGGCGTTTCACCCCATTGGACTTACTTTCTTCTTTGCGGCTCGAGGCAACAAACACCATCCCCAAAGCCCCCTTTGCGTGTGTGTGTGTGTGTGTGAGAGAGAGAGAGAGAGAGAGAGAGAGACGGAGGTTGCAGAGGCGTGTGGATAAATGTCAATTATATTGTATTCTTTTGAATAATGACACTTTTGTACAGATTGCTGTGGTACAACCCATCATTAATGGATGTGTGCACACACCTGGCACTGAATCCTGCTACAGCAACGCAGAGCCACGGGGTGGCGCCACAGAAGCGTTCTCTCTCCACACCCCCCAATCCCCCCCCCCAACCTTTAGCACCGCACCGTTTGGTTTCCCTTTTTATTCTTCTCCCAAAAAGGTCAACAAACTTTTTTTTTGTTGTGGATCACAAAACCCCAAGTCTCTCACCCCTCGCGTGTTCCCACGACATCAGCTGCTCGCCAGCACAAGGGGGGAAACTTGCCTTTTATTGCATAATTCTGATTTTTGGGTGCAGCCGTTAACACTTTCTATAAACTACAGTATGTTTTATAGTTATTTTAACAGTCAATGCTTCAGCTCAAGTCATAACTTTAACCTACACGAAGATTTTACACCTAAAATTCACAGCGTTTCGACTTAGGCGTTGGTACTGTACTCTACAGACAAAGAGTATTTTGGAAATACTCTGAATATAAGCATTCATGAAATAAATCTGTATTACGTCAGATAACTTTTTTTGTATCTAAACCCTCACCAGAATTATGCTGCCTTTATTAAGAGACAATGTCATCCCCGGGATTAACGACTGTGCAGTTTCAGCAATTGGCTGTTTAGTTACAGGAACGGTTCCAGTCGTTGAAACAAAATGAGGGGAGAATTTACACTGAGACCAAACAGTGCAAAATAATTGGATAAACTTGGTGATTTATCACTGAAATTCTTTCTGGAAAAAAATGTACGGTTTTCTTCCAAGGGTAGAATTAAAACAAAACACATATGAGGCACATTTATCGCCTGCACTTAATTTAACGTGGTGGTGATGTATAACGAACATTAGTGTTGGTAACTTTTAAGTGATCTCGTCAAATCAAATGCAAGGATTATTATTATTATGTATATATATATTTTAAAATATATTCTCTATTTACACAGTCTCCCAAAGTAGTGACAACTTAAGACCATATCAACAACGGGGTAAGAATCCCTAATAATATTATTATTAATGATAATTTGGTAAGTCAATCCACGACTGTTTGTGGGACACATTACGGTGGACAATTGGCTGCCGTGTTTCGCCCACAGAATACACAATCAATTTACTTTACAGTATATTCTGTGAAGCACTTTGAGACGTCTCAATGGTGTGATAAGGTGCTGTATCAAACGCAGTGGTTATTATTGGTCAGCATAGTTTTGCGAAGCTGCAGCGGGTTATTATTATCTGTATAATTTCTTATTTTGTCGTATTTCGGCCTGGATTAGTTTTCTTTTAACCCGAATATTCAGTGTTTTAAAAAGATCATTCGAGATGTTCGGATCACCTTTTTTTTTAAGATTGTTTTTTTTTAAGATCGTTTAAGATTGTTATCCGTTGTAACTGACTGCTTGTAACCAAACGAGTGGTTCTGGAAATCCTATTTCACATATGGGGGTGGGTTACGACTTATTAAGGTGAGGATATTATTTATTAAGGTGAGGATATTATTTACGAAGGTGAGGATATTATTTACGAAGGTGAGGATATTATTTACTAAGGTGAGGATATTATTTATTGAGGTTGGGGGTATTATTCTGATTGAAGGGAGCTGATTTTGAGACAAGATGTTTATTTGAAGGCCAATTACTGAGTAGAATAACACTGATAATTCGGGGAGGGGAAAGAGCAAATTGCCAATAAATTGTGCCAATGTCTGAAACGTCACCCAACACTTTGAAAAGCTGCAGTTCTGGGTTTGCCTTTGGTTAGTGATCTGTTTTGACTCATTTTTTTTTTGCATCTCTCCTGTTATATAAACTACACACATTCCAAGCCACTGACCGGCATGCATGCCAATGTTTTTTTTTATTATTTTACACAGAATTATATACACTTTTACCGCGTAGCCTTTCACACGAATAATAAAAGACATTTCAAAAATTTGGACCATCTAAAACTAGTAAGGCAGGGAAACAAATCCGCCTATGCAAAAAAACACGCGGTTAATTACATTTTTTTTTAATAATTATTATTATTATTATTATACAGTGCACATGGTAACGTTACAAAATGGAGTGTCACAATATTGCTTCGTTTCATTTGGGTTTTCCACCCCCCCCCCCCAAAAAAAAAAAAATATTATTTCCCTTCCAACACACTTTCAAACGAAAGAGAGAGAATACCCCCTCTCTCTCTCCCCTCCACCCCCACCCTCCCACCCTCCCACACCCCACCCCACCCCCTTCTCTCTCCCCCACCCCCACCCCCCTCCCCAAACAAAACGCTTTGATGTTTAATTTTTACCTTGCATAAGAAAAAAAATACTAATAGGTATGACAAATATTGCCAACAACAAGGTTTTTTTTTCCCCCCCTCACCGTTTTACTTATTTTTTTTACACACACACACACACACACACACACACACAATGTTAAGTTCCTTTATGCGGCTGATGGTTAGCTAACGATTGGAATAAATAGGACCTTATTAGATTTTCGCATCCCTTGAAAGTGCCTTCACAATTTCTTGTCTTTCTTTTCTTTCTCTCTCTCTCTCTCTCTCTCTCTCCGTTAAAATCCCGGGTCCCGCTTATTTCATTGAATAAGAAGGGTCCAAAAGGTAATTGGATATGGACCTGGAAACCATCGTTGTGCCAACGTTGAAGGGCGACTTGCAGTGCAATGCTGATGGGGAGTGAGTGAGTTGTCAGAGCCCCCACCGGGTCCTTCCTCTGTCATTGTCACATTACACAAGGCTTGATGTCTTGGTAACTCACTTGCTGATGGTAGTAAGATCCATTAGTTGATGAATGCATCGGGGGAGATGTCATGGCGTTGAAAGAGAAGACGAATTCCTTCCTATCGCACATGTTCGGGGACTGCGAATGGTATCTGGCGATTCCTGGGGGGGTGGGGGGCAGAGGGAGGGGGGTAGGGGGGGGGGTGGAAAAAAAAACATATGAATACACACACACACGGGAATGAAATCATCTTTTGACCCTCGAGATTTCAGCTCCACACTTATTATTGTGTTCCCTTTTGTTTAACCACAACCACCAGAAAAAAAAGCAGTTTTTTTTTATCGGTAAAGAGGATGATATAGTCATGTAATTGAAGTGAGAAACTAGGGGTGGGGGTGGTGGGGGGGGAGGGGGGGGGTTAGGGGATCGTGTGAGACGTGTCACGCAATAAACGGTGGATTTGGAATAAGGCAAATGTTTCCATAGGGCTTTTTTTTTAGCTCTTTGTACATATAATCACAAAAAAAAGTATATGCATTCTGTTACGTATGTTAATAGAAGACGTCAATACGTGTGTGTGTATGTATATATACATATATATAATGTGTGTACATACATGTGTGTGTGTGTATGTGTGTGGGCGTCTTCTGTTAATACCCACAGGTATATTTTTCAGATGGGACTTTTGTAATACGCACACAACAAATAACTGTTGTCAAAACTCGCCATAAAATGGCTTATGTTTGTGTAGAGTTAGTCCTTGGTCTTTTTATATATATATATATATATATATATATATATATTTAAAGAAGGGCTGTGAACAGGAGCCTTATTTGATTTAATTTCTGCCCACCACAATACTTGTGTCTGTTGGGCCAGAGGTAAAATAATAAATCCGCCACGTTGAGGATAGATAAATAGGTTCCCTCACCTCACCCCCCGCCCTCTCGACACACACCGTGATAGTGGTGTCTTCACTCGTGTTTTTGCTGGTGTGTGTGTGTGTGTGTGTGTGTATTTATGGGACGGGGGGAGGGGGTGGATCTGTTTTGAGACCCGTAAAACACTGATTCAGTGTGTGTTAGCAATTGGATCTGAAAAGGTTCTTTGGAACCACAGTGAGATTTTTTAAAAGAGTCAGATTTCTCTCTTTTTTTAAAAAAAAGTCACATTTGCAGTAAGATAGTGAGATAGATATAAATCTCACACAGGTGACTGGAATCGAGTTGGTCTGTATATTGTATGTATATAATGTCACATATATATATATATATATATATAGACGTCTGATTATATACGCGCACATCTCTCAAGTTAATTTATTTTAATTTTAGACGTTGCACTGTCAAAAACTGTTACTGCTCTCAAATTCGTGACACACACACACACACACACAATGTTAACGACCCCCCGAACCATCTCTACCTTATCCTTTTCTTTTCTTTGGGTTCTGTTTACCCATCGGAGGGTGGTGGTGGGGGGGTGGGCGGGGGGGAGGGTTTAAGGGTCTATCGGAAGGGATGAGATGAGATGAAATGAGTTAAGATGTTTCACGTAATTCTTGATTTTACCCCAAACCAGGTCACCCCTAACGTCCTGACACTACGTCGCGATCCCAACGCGAGAAATGTGGGGAGAGGGAGAATCAGAACATTTCATATTTTTTTTCTTTTAAAAAAACTTTTTTTCGAGTCGGTTAATTTTAAGCGTGAGAATTAATTCCTATTTGGGTCGACGGGTTACTTTTTTTATACGGACTCCCCGAGACATCGACCCAACACGAATCGTTTGGATTTAGTCACACATACACACGAACATCAGCGTTGGTTTGGTTTCTGGCAGATTGGATCTCAGCGGCGAGGAATAAAATGTATGTTATTCACAGTTTTTAAGGCTTCAATGGGATCAGAAAAGGCGGAATGGTTCACCCACCAAATATACCGCTTCACCCACAAATACACAGCCGATTCGCTTGACAGTCTATCCTGTGCAGCGCTTTGAGGCGTCTCGGATACGAGATAGGACGTTACATCAAATACAGTGGTTATCACTAATCTGGTTTTGATTATATTTGGGATTGTGCGAAGGACAGTCAGCTATTGGTGTGTCGATTGTCAAGTGGGGATTTTACTGGTGAGCTGTTCGCTTTGGGGCTGGGATTAAAATAAATATTGTGTGTGTGTGTGTGTGTGTGTTGAGGGTGGGGGGGAGTTTATGCTAACAGTGTTACTGTGCTATTTCACACAGTGCTAAGCGCTATGTATTCCCCCAAAAGGACCCTCTATTTCTTACTCTCTCTCTCTCTCTCTCTCTCTGTGTGTGTGTGTGTGTGTGTGCGAGGAATCATTCCCACTGTGTGTGTGTGTGAGTGTGAGAGATGGTGTTATTGTAGTCCAGTTGGCACCAAACTCCATCCCCGCGGGGATGGCATGGACATGGAGATGTTTTCTTTGACCACGTTGTGGGGAATTTATTGTGAAAACAAAGGAGTTGTTTTAACTCTTTCTGTTTGTTATTTATTCCAGCCAGCGACCAATTAGGTGGGGTGAAAGAGGGAGAGAGAGAGGGGGGGATGGGGGGGGGGGGGGGGGGTGGCGTGTGAGGGGGGGAAGAGAGGGAAGAAACACAACTCTCTCCTTAATGACACTTTGGAATCGTTCTGCAAGACAGCGAGTCAATCAATCTATCTTCCTTCCCCACAAATATTGTCTTAAACCTAAATTCTCAGCGTCCGAGTGAGTGGTCAACCATTAATGAAAGGGTTGGAAAACGTAGCCAACTGACTCTTTAGTCTGTTGTATGTTTTAAGGGCGATGGGTGTGTGTTTTGTTTTCAATGCTCAAAATAACCCAACACGAGATTGGTATTCCGCCTGACGTGTGTGTGTGTGTGTGTGTGTGTGTCTATGTGTGTGTGTTGTTTAATTTTATTATTTCGAGAGATTTTAACGCTTTTAGCTCTTGATTTTGATACCAATTCCCGTGTTGCGAATCAACTCGCGAGTATTTTTTCTTAAAATGGTCTAATATTCGCGCGTTTAACCCTTTACCTTCTCTGTTTCCTCACAAAAGGGGAATGTGACTTTTTTGTCGACTGTCTTGTGGTCACACTGTCAACTTTTGCTAAAAACCGTCACCCCCTCCCCCCCCCCCCCCCCCCCCCCCACACACACACACACCACTACTAAGCATCAGTTGCAACTAATTTGGATAACTTATAAAAAGTTAATTTGGAAGAATGAAGTAAGTCGAAAGGAGCTGCTGAACAGTTTCACTCCTTTGCAATTCAATGACTCGTGCATTAAAAAAAAACTACTAATTTGCACTGGTCTCAATATACCCATTGAAATCTTAATTCGGTTGTGTTTTTTTCCTCTGGAAGGTTAATCCCCACATTGTTTAGAATCGCCACCTTCTGTCTCTGTGTGTGTGTGTGTGTGTGTCTGTGTGTGTGTGTATGTGTGTGTGTGTGTCTCTCTCTCTCTCTGTCTCTCTGAGTGTGTGTGTGTCTCTGTGTGTGTGTGTCTCTCTCTCTCTCTCTGAGTGTGCGTGTCTCTGTGTGTGTGTGTGTGTGTGTCTCTCTCTGTGTGTGTCTCTCTGTATGTGTGTGTCTCTGTGTGTGTGTGTGTGTGTGTGTCTCTGTCACGCACGATTAATGTACACGCGCCGCAATCCACTTTTAATCCCCCAAACACACCGTTAAAAGCGAAATACTTTTCTCTCTCTCTCTCTCTGTCTGTCTCTCTCTCTCTCTGTCTCTCTCTCTCTCAGAGCCATACCTTGTATATCCGCCGCGTTGTGGCTGTTCTGGTGTAAGTAGGGCTGATCCAGCGAGTGCGCGGGCAGGTTGGACGCGAGGTTGGTCGGGTTGCAGGGCGACAGGGGCTGCTGTTTGATATAAGAGGTCCCGTTGTTGAGCGCCGAGGCGGGCTGAGCCCAAGCCGAGGTCGGGGTAGAGTACATAGAGTGCGGCTCCATCACCCCGCCGCTGGGCAACAAGGGGGAGGCGGGCACCGAGCCGTCGGCGTGGTTCCCGTAGTCCCCGGCGGAGGAACCCGTGCAACTGGACATGTAGGAGTGGCCGTTGTTGGCGGAGAGGTGAGACACGGAGTGCGCCTGCAGCCCCATCCCGTCCAGGTTGTTGGGCAAGTGCGCGTTCATCATGCTCAGGCCGCTGTCCAGGGACAGGCCGTTCGGCGGACACGCCATGGGACCTCTGGAGCTTTGGAAGTTGTAGGTCTCCGGGATGTGGTTGAAGCCCAATCCGTTCATCATACTGTACATGGGCTTCAGGGCTTGGCATTTCCTGCGGAAACCCCTGGGTCGGCGCCTGAAGGATCCCTCCTCGAACATGAACTCGCTGGCCGGGTCGATGGTCCAGTAGTGGCCTTTGCCCGGCCGGCCCAGCCCTTTGGGCAGTTTGATGAAACACTCGTTGAGGGAGAGGTTGTGGCGCACGGAGTTCTTCCAGCCCTGGTACGAGCCCCTGAAGAAGGGGAAGCGGCTCTGGAGGAACTGGTAGATCTCGCTGAGGGTCAGCCGCTTGGACGGGGAGTTCTGGATGGCCATGACGATCAGGGCGATGTAGGAATAAGGAGGTTTCTCCGGACGCCTTATCCCGGCGTTTGTTTTCTTAGTTTTGGCGGTGGAGTTGGCCGTTTCCATCACAGAGCTCTGATTGTGAGCCTTCTCAGTGCCCGCAGACATGGGACTGCTCTGAGCCGCGTTCTGAGACGGGGGCTGTTGGATTTCTGCCGTCATTTAGTAAACGGGGGGGGGTAGGAGAAGTCGGGGAGGTGGCACAGACAGACACACACACACACACACGCACACACACACACACAGAGAGAGAGAGAAAAAAACTTTTTAACCCCCCACCCTCCCCCCTCTTGTGTTTTTTTTTTAAAAATCGCTTTTTATCCGAAATTCCAACCCACACTCCCAACACAAAAGCGACAAAACTCCCGACAAGTTCATCAACTGCACACTTTTCGGTTTGTTTTTGTGCCTTTTCTGGATTCGCAAACGTTTTTCTCTCTCCGGGGGAGGAAGGATCGGTTTAGCAAAAAGTTATTGCTGTTTTTTTTTCTTCTTCTTCTTCTTCTCTTTCTCTCTCTCCTCCACTTCTTCCTCCTCCCTCTCTCCTTCCCTCTTTATCCCCCCCACCCACCCACCCCCACCCCAAAAAAAGAGCAGCGAAACGCTCGCAGTTCATTAAATAGCAAGCTTTTGGTTTTCCTTTCTGGATTCCCAAACTTTTCTTTTCCTCTCCAGGAAGGATCAGCTTGCTTTAAGAAAAAAAAAGGTATTGCTGTTTTCTTTCTGGTCGTCTCTTCTCACACTCTTTCCTTCTGTCTCTTCTCTCTCTCTCTCTGTGTGTCTCTCTCTTTCTCTCCTCCGGCGGTGGTGGTGGTGGTAGTGGTGGTGATGAGGGAGGGGGTGGGGGGGGGGTAGGGGTAGATGGTGGGGGGGGGGGGGAATCCACACAACGTTTCTTGCTAAATATGATGTCAATGCAAGTTTGGGTTGAACACGTATTCCCTTTGCTTCTTCGCTCGCCTCTGTTTCCTTGGGTTTCAATCCGTGCTCTCACTCCCTCTCACTCCCTCTCTCACTCACTCACTCCCTCACTCACTCACTCCCTCGGTCGCTTCGCTTGTTGCAAGAGGCAGTCAAGTCAGTCAGTCACTTTTACATCGTACTCGGTCTGGGGTGGATCTGCCACGCCAAAAGAGATCGGTTTTACTTTATCTCTTGTCATCAGCGTCTTGAGCCTCTGGGCTGTCAGACGTAAGTAGAACAAGGAACCTCCCCACTCGCCCAAATCGCCCTCCCTCTCCCCCCCCCCCTCTCTCTCTCTCCTCTCTCTCTCTCTCTCCTTCCTCGCCTCCCTCCCTCTCCCCCTCCCCAAACCCCATCCCTCCCACCTCGCCCCAGGACTGGCGAGCTCTCTTAAAAAGAATTTCAACACCCGCCTTCATTAGCGATTCGATGTGATATCTGTCTTTTCTTTAACATGCAGTTGAAACGAGCTTTTTTTTCCCCCAAAAAAATTATATATATATTTATAGACACACGCACAGACACGCGCAAAAAAAACCCAGCGCTGTGTACACAAAAATACGCATAACCAGGGGAACTAATCCGGAATAAATACAATCCTTGGTATAAAGTGTAAGGTATTATGTTACGTGTGTGTGTGTGTGTGTGGTGGGGGGAGTGGGGGGGTAGTGGGGGGGGGGGGGGGTGAGACACTGCTTGTTGCAATGCTGAAATGGACATGAAGCATTCACACAAATCTTTTTTTTTAACAAAAAGCATTTTATCACGTTGAAATAAAAAAAAGCAAAGGCAGCCAATAAATACCCGGGGGGGGGGGGGGGAATATTGCGCGTCTCAAAAAAAAATGAGAGAAGGATCTCATTATTATCGGTCATGAAATTCAGTGCGGATTCTGAAACTTTTTTTTATTGGGGAAAAGGAAAGAAAAAAAAGTTTTCATCAAAAAATAAACTTGGTGATTCAGGTTATCGCTTTACTGATTCATTTGGGCGTTTATTTTCTTTGGGAGTGGGTATGGGGAGGGTGGGGTGGGGGTGGGGGAGAGGAATTAAGGGTGGTAAAATGATGTTAAGATGAATTTTAACGTGATTCTAACCCACACGCTCAAATCTTTTTCTGCTGATGTTTAATAAGACAGGAAAATGCACAGGATGTTTACAGAGCATCAACGTAAACACACACAGGCGTTTAGAGAGAGAGAGAGAGAGAGATCTGTGCAATCCCAGTTTAATGCACTGTTTTTTTTCTGTTACGTATAAAATGTTCCTTGTAGTCTCGAGCCTGACTGTTTAGATATTCCCTTTATAATATTATATATAAGACCAGAACATGTTATACCCAGATTCTGTCACTGAAAAATCGGTGTCTTAGCAAGCAGAGGCTTCGGCGCCTGGTATCCTTTGCAATAACGTGTCAGACACTCACACACAGACACAGACACACAGACACACACACACACACACACACACAACACTTAACTCAAGGTAAGGCGCATTGTATTGCAACTTGTACCCACTTCTTTCATGTTAAAGCGGTTTTCTTTTAACGCGCGATTAGGATCTGCGTGTGACTGGGAACGTTTGCTTTGATTCCACGTTGTGATTTGGGATGGAGGGGGGTTTGAGGTGGGGGTAGAGGGTGGGTGGGTGGTGAGGGGAGGAGAGAAATAAAGTGCTGGAGGATTTTTTTTGCGGTGGGGTGTGAGTTGCCCTAAAGGTCCAGACGGCGCCTCTAACCCCAGGCATGTTTTTTACTGACTGCCCGGGTCGTTAGGGGAGCTTTAAACGTTAAGTTTCTGATAAGGTCGCCCCATTCTATTAGGGAAATTCTGTCGAGACTTACAGAGAGGGAATTTCAAAGCCAAAGCGATTTAAATTCCCCCCACCGAGACACCGAGGCGTTTTCCAAACAAAAAAAAAGATGAAATAAGAACATTTCTTTGTGGCGGAAAGAGCTCAAACGTGTTGTGTTTGGTGTTTAAGTCTCTTCCGAATCAACTGAAATGTCTTGACCTGGTTCAGCTCGGTTTATTTACTATCCCTGACTACAGTAAAAGGCAATCGCTGAAATGAGAATGACCTCGTATTAGAGCTGGGAGGTGTGTGTGTATGTGTGTAAATGCCCTTATCCCCTATTTGATACTTCCAAACCTACTTGGGGGTGAGGACATGATTTCTCGTGTGTGTCTGTGGGAGTGGAGGGACATACAATAAAATAATCCTAACGTGAAGAGCGAGTAACGTAACGTAAAGTGGTTCATATTTTACAACTTCTTGCTTATATATAGTATATTATATATACAGTATATTGTATGTGTGTATATTCATATCTCTATCTATGTATAGTCATAATCATCTGTAATATTAAATATATCTCTCTGTATATTTATAGAGAGAGAGAGAGAAACTTTAAAGGGTTCTGGCCTCGCGGCATATTACTTCGGGGAACTTGGAAACACTGAGAGTTGATCAACAGACCCCGATGTGATGAGTGTTTGCCAAATTAAAGCGGCCGAAAAGAAAGCTATAGGTTTCAGCCACTTGCTTTACATTCGTTCTTCTTATCCCCCACAGCGACAAACCGTTCCTGAATGGTTTTTTTTTGCGTTAAAACAGAACAAGAGCAATCCTAATATAACTGCTCCACCGTTGACCCTGTTCAGCCTTGCTCGGAAAAAGCGTTTCGCATAAAAAAAAGAAGTACAAAGAAGGGAGTGTGAGCAGCCAAAGAGAAACTGAGAGAATCCTTAAAACATTGCGAGATAGACTGACTCCCTTCTCTGTAAGATGAGCAAAAGCGCCCTCCCGAATGCACTATTGCAGCAAGATAAATTAGTAAGTTATAAATACGCAGTGTTTTCACCAAGTGACATATTTGCCTAAACAATTTACTAATTCACTTTCTTAATGCGCAAAGGCGAGAGCTGTTGAGCGAGTTTCTGTTGAGAATGCCTTACGACGTGTTATAATTTCAGGGTTTAAATTCTTTGCCTGGCGGTGCGTTTCCTTACAGCTATCATATACATAGCTTTAATGATACTCTATTCGCCAATGTTGTCCACCTGCACAGACACAGTGCTGTCCAGGACAATGCATATTCCCAAACCGGTAAGTAACGTTGTATTTCCTTTCCAGTGAGTAAATCATGCACAACCGAGGCACAAAGCTTACGATTTTCCATCATATTTAATAATGTTGCATAATTGAGAACTATTTTCTGCATGCATTTTTTTTAAAGCACACGATTAGCGGTGAAATATATATATATTTATATTTGGTGCTGCAACTGAACTAAATAACGCTTTTGACTTTGTAAATCCCAGAGCAGATCAAAAAGACCGTCCCTCTTCAATAAAAAGACTCGCATTGCGTTTCGCGTTGAACTGCAATGCGTCGGAATAAATGTATTCAAAAGTTTTTAAAAAGTTATCCCGAGCGCGTTATATAAAGATCTCAGCGTTGCATTGCATATAGCGCGCGTTCATTCCCAGGACCTATCTTTTTGGAAAGTACAGTCATAATAAAGTGGATTCACTAGAGGAAAAACAACGCTTTTAATTCATTTTTAAACGCTGAGCTGGTTAGAAACTGTGGAACAGCATCAAATTGAACTGCGAGCAGATTCAGTGATCTATACCCCCAAATGCACTGTTGCATTTTAAAATTAATTTCAGGTCAAACTGTATTGCATTATATTTCTTCATTGCTCTATCCGTCACACGTTAAAGAAAGCGCCGACTATGTATTGAACTTAAAAGCAACACGAAATGATCAAGGGAGGGGAGAGAAGAGAGTTGAAATCATGCAATAGTGTTCACAGGGCGATTCGTTTCATAAAATTAAAACACAATATAATGACCAGAATTCATACTAAATTGACATTGGACCCTATGCAATAATGTCTTTCGCCTTTTTATGTTTTTTTTTAAAAAAAATCCCACTCTCTTTGGGCGAGAAAGGCCTTTGATTCCTCCCCACACCCCCCCACCCCCCAAAAAAATAAAGTATATAAAAAAAGCATTAAAAAATTATTTCTTAAGATCAAACCTCGCGTTGGCTAAACCGGGGGTTGACTTTAACAGGGCTGTGTGCATTTCTAAAGAGGGAAGGGGAGGAGGGGAAGAGAGGAGAGGGGAGGGGAGGGGAGGGAGGGAGCATGGCCGAAGGTGGAAGGAACCCAGTCTTGGTTAAGTTATTGTAAATACACTGTGCAATCAGTGACCTGTGAGCCGGGGCCAGGCATTTATCAGCGCTCAAGGCTGAGGTACAGACCCGATTGAGA